ATGGCATTTTATTACAATTACTATTCCGATCATCATCGGTGTAACATAGACGATAAAAAAGAAGATAGACTCATTAAGAAAATCAAAGGAAAACATATCACTATCTAAGACACGAAAGATTGTTTAGGTACAGAAAAATTATCTCAATCTATTACGTTCAATAAATTTCTATGAAAAAAACTTCCTTTACCTCAGGTTTCAGGTAAAATATTTGTACAGGACTATATGAAACAGTAAATTAGTATAATTGAAAATATTAATATTACATGGTCTATACCAATAGCAAGAAAAAAAAACTTATATTAACAAAAATTAGATGCATTAGTAGTTGCAGAACTCTGAGTCAAAACTGGAAACAGAAGGGTTGATCCTGGTAGCTCAAAATCAAATTCTACTAACAATATCTTATTAAACACATATTTAAAGAAATGGATTAGATTCAAAGTGACGTTTCTGTACATGCACTAAGATTATTGAATATCGAACACCTGTCTGTTCTAACTTCGTAACAAATGGATTTAAAATTACACATAACTGGAAAATATGCCAACATTATAATCTGCCACACATAGAAAAACACTATGCTCAAAAAGCATCGTTACATCCAGAAGGTTATGCTCCTCTGGATGTCAGCATACATGCCGAGCGCACTATACAAATTACAGACTAGATATTGTCTAAAAAACTGCAAAAAGCAGGAATAACATCACATACACATGATAAAAACGTCCGATAGAAAGATTTTTGCAAAAGAATTTTCAAAAATTCCTCAAATATAAGCATCTGGAAATATAAATTACAAACTTGCGCTATTCCAATAGTTTTACGAGCACTGTGAAATATTAAGAAAAATGCTGATAAACACATTAAGAAAATCCCAGGAACTAAATCTTTCTCTGGAATACGAAAATTGTGTTAATGAGTAATACCAACGTATTTTGAAACACTCTTTCAATAAATTCATAAGAAACCATTGGTTTACATTAGAACAATAATAATAATGACTAATTAATTAATTAATTAAAATCCAATAATGTATAAGGTAAAATGTTGTATACTTAATGAAAGGGAAGAGTGGGAAAGCACAGGACAAACGCAAATGCACACGCACAAAACCCCCACACATATGACTTCATTTGCACTATCCACACGGCCGCATATTTCAAATTATCTATATTTGTTATCTAATTTCAATGAATTATGCTTTATATATATATATATATATATATATATATATATATATATATATAAACAAAAGCTGAAAAGCAACTTGTCAGCAGTCAATATACCGCTTGAGCGCTCAGCTTTGGAGCAGGTAGAATGGAGATCAACGTGTTTTAGTGGACTCAGCAATTTTCAATCTGCTTGTCTGAATCATCTTCAAGAAGCGAGAGCAAGATCTAAAAAGTCAGCTAATCTAACCGTGATCTCATTTCACAATCCTCACACTTGCTCCATATGTGGCCTCCTTTGTAAATCAATAACGGGTCTTAAATGCCACTTAAGGTTATCGCACAAACTTTCATAACTGAATCAATAAGCTGTCAGATCCTCATACATCGAAACCAACAGGAGAGTATATATATATATATATATATATATATATATATATATATATATATATATATATATATATATATATTATATATATATATATATATATATATATATATATATATATATATATATATATATATATATATATATATATATATGTATTACTACTTTCCACATGCCGCCAGAAATTATGCCATGTTTGGAATTAAAGTCAGAAGTCTTTATTCTTTTAGACTTTACACATGTGAGCCTATATTTTCCATTTATGATATTAATATGCACTCATTATGATAGGAGCCATTTTATTACAGAATTATAAAGAAAAAACCGGGATCCCACTTTCTGTTCATTAGAATCTTATATTAATCCATATTTACCAATGCTGTATAAAAGAAAATGATGGGATATTTCATTAGGTCTTTATTATTATTAAAATGTTTTCACACGTGATTCTTATGAATATATTTATTTAATCATTATATAAATATGTAAGCATTCTGGGTAGAAGCTCATTATTTAATTACGATGAGAAATCAATCCTCCACTTTATATATAACAGAATCTTATATTAATGGGTTTTACCTATGTCGTCAAAAATGACCCTGGATTGTTAAATTTTTTTCTGTTATTAGGTTTTCATATGTGAGTCATTTGACAATATTTCTACAATTATCCGATGAATATATAGCTAACAGTACCCGTGTAAATATCACGGTTTTCCTGTTTTTAAATTTCTGATGAATCCTAATTCTTAATCTCATGACTGCGTACCTTTTTGAAATTTCCACGACAATAACATACCTGAGGAAATTTCCCCTACTATCTCGCTAAACATTTGAAGTTAATAATTTTATCAAAATATTGCATTAAAATTCATAATCAAGGATGCAGATCATTAAAGAAGTAAGAGTAAAAAGATTGATAAATTAAAATATCACAAGATTTTCCATTTTACCGAAGCAGACATTAATCGCATGAGAGCGTCACAGCCATTCCTCTTTCTTTCTTTCTTTCTTTCTTTCTTTTTCTTTCTTTCTTTCTTTCTTTCTTTCTTTCCCTAAAACCAAACAGCTTTTTTTTATACATTTTCTTTGTCTTTCCTCGTGATTAAAACAAAATGGTCCATTATTTCAGGTAATGGCAGAGTGTATGCAAGTTTGTGAACAGTGAAATGGCTCATTGCAAACCGTGAAAGAAGAGACAAAAAAGGCAACAAAAAACAAATTAATAATATTATACATTCATATACCATAATATATATATATATATATATATATATATATATATATATATATATATATATTCATATACCACAATCCGTTGCTTTGACTCGGGCCGCGTGATAACAGGTGAACTCTATTTGACGAAACAAGTGACAGAACAGGTGAGATGAAATGTCAAGAATATAAAGCAATAAAAATTATCAACCAATCAAATAAGGACAAAAAATAAAAAAAATAAAATAAAAACCCTTGGTATGTGTTGTCTGGTAGACGAATCAGCAGATAATTCATGGTGATCCATTTTCTTCAGACAATCGACTGTTATATTTTTCCTTTATACGTTTAAAAAAAAAAACTCTTGAAAAGAATAAAAAAAACCCACACACATACACACACACAGACGCACACAAATTAAAATTCTTTGGAATTGATAACCTGTTTCTTTTTTTTTTACATGCCTCATTTCGCGAATATGATTTGATTTAAAACACGCCGAAAATCCCCACTCCGATATGGAGTAGAGTAACATAAAGTAAAAAAAAAAAAAAAAAAAATTGAGAGACACTCTCCAAAAATTGACGAATCTAGGCAAAATCTTTCCTTGAACGCAAACACATTCGTAAAAGTACCTAGGAGAAAGAGCGTCGTGAAAATGCCGGAAAGAATAATTTGTTTCTTCCCTTCGTCCATTTTTAGCTTGTATTAAATATTAGACTGTTTGGAACATAATGACGTTTTTCCAGAAAACATAATATCTAATATAGGTTAAAATTGTTTAATTTGTATTCCCCAGTTCAGAAACTATTTACGTTTTGCCAGAAAAGATACATATTAAAACCAAAATATAAGTTAAATCTATTTGAACTAAGAGTGTTTTATAGAAAAGAAAAAAAAAGTTTATTTCTATATTATTAGACTCTTCGGAGAGTAATGACAAAAAATATATATAAAAAAAAAACAAATGTAAGTTCTTGAAATATTATATATTGTTAATATAATTCTAGAAACACTGAAATTGGATGGTTTTAAATCATCATATTCACTCTAAGTATTCAGTGGCAAGATGTGAGCAGATCGTGATATTCATTTCCATATAAAAATTCATACATTACCATCTTGTGGAACTTTGAGAAAGAAAAGAATACAATTACAAATAATATAGTAAAGCATTTATTTCTCTTAAAAACAATGAATATCGAATATTTGAACGCGTTTTATTCTTGTTTAGATGAAGACAAACTATTGTGGATCACTTACCTGATGGATGCGTAAGAGAAAAGAGCTGATTGTAATAAATGCATGCATGCATGCATCTATCTATCTATCTATCTATCTATCTATCTATCTATCTATCTATCTATCTGTATATATATATATATATATATATATATATATATATATATATGTGTGTGATTTTATAACATGTTTATGCTATAATAATTTTTGAATAAATACTATTTGCTCTACTCTGTATTGAGCACTCTTTTAAGAGTAGTGTTTTTTGCTTATTGGAATATTATTCTGTCTATACCAATCCTATACTTGGATATATATATATATATATATATATATATATATATATATATATATATATATATATAAAAAAGTAATATTATTAAATATATCTATTTCACTCTGTTCATATCTATCTAAATTTGTTCATATCTATCTCATTTTTTCATTATCTATCTCACTTTCTTCATATCTATCAATATGCGTATATGTGAATATATATATATATATATATATATATATATATATATATATATATATATATATATATATTATTAAAACAATCTATCTTTCTAATTTTGTTCATATCTATCTATCTATCTATCTATCTGTGCTTATCTGGAATTTATATAAGATTGTATTAGTTTTGTATATGCGTAATTGTGTACAACGGCGCGTGTGTGTGTTCGTGTCTTTGTGTGCTCGTATGTGAAAATGTAATTATGATATTTACACACTTAGAAAACGATAAGTAAAAAAAAATACAAACACACAATTACAAACAAAGAAAATGATAAGTAAAAAGAGAATTTGAATGAAATTTGTAATAAATAATGTTTCTGTATGAAAACTGATGCCAAATTTGAGCCGATACACGTACATATATCCTTTCACACGCAAAGCATGAATAGTGACGGGTCATCTATACAAGTCTTTCCATATGCAAGACACATTAAAAACCTAAGCTTCTTTTGATCAATACAATCATTACGACTCTCGTATCTGATGGCACGATTCGAGCAACTCACTAACTTTAGGGGAGTACTCACCATTGATACAGCGTGTACTTTCACATGCCATGCGGAAATGGGGTCTGGATTTCCCACGGCAATTTATGCCGGCTGGTTTCTTTGAATGTTTCCAAACGCAGGACAGGATACGGAACTTGTATCGGGTAGGGCCACAGTAGGGGCGGCACTGAAAAAAAAAACTCGAAAAGCTATATATTTATATATATATATATATATTTACATACGAAGAAATAATCACACATAGAATCAATCAGGAGTATTAATGCGATTATTGGCGACATCCATCGTTAGAAAACATAATATATGCATTAAAATACTGTTCATCCATAGTGCGAGTTGATCCTCATCGATAAACTTGTTGTCCGTAGTTTTCAGTTTATTTGATGTTAAAATGCTAGTACTTACGAATAGTCTTCTATTCATCATCAGGCATGTGTTTTTTTCCTTAGTAAAGTTTATCGATGAGGATCAACTCGCACTATGGATGAACAGTATTTTAATGGATATATTATGTTTTCTAGCGATGGATGTCGCCAATAATCGCATTAATACTTCTGATTGATTATATGTGTGATTATTTCTTCGTATGTAAATTATATGCTGCCTAATGTTTTATATATATATTTATATATATTCACTAAACATTGGCGAAAGTACAACATGCACAAACACATACTATCAAACACACAGACACACACACACATGCAGATATATAGGTGACAAATATATATATATATATATATATATATATATATATATATATATATATATATATATATATATATATATATATATATATATAGGCAATACATCAAATAACCCTAAACACATCAATCTTCTCTATCGTAATTCGATGCATTCTAAATAAAGATGAAAAAGTCTAAAATATACTCAAAATACTAATATATACCTCACAGATCCCAGTAAAAAATAAAATTAATTATATACAATACCAAATTTAATACAACCAACATTATCATCCATAATAAGTCGCCCCCACCAACTGACGTATTGCAGAAAGCCAACAATATATATCAATTTAAATGTCCCTTGTTAGATTGCATCTCCAACAAAAAGCTGATGTATATGTTGGTAATTCTACAATAACGTTATCAAGACGGCCCAATCTACGCATGAAGGATTCATCCTCCATTGCACAACATCTGCAAAAAACATTCCAGTTTATATTTACAATTTAGAACTATATTAGTCGACAATACCCGAATAATTCACCAACAACGTAATAAGTAGAAAGTACATATTCTGGAATCCATTTTTATTAAAAAATTAAAGCCAACACTTAACAAAATTAATTATGAATATATTACAAATGTTCTGAAATGCTTATAGTATATAGTTCTTTAGAAATATCTAGACTAAAATTAAACAGTTAAAAAAACAAGCAAACTCTAACCTACCACAAAAACTCAATTTTTAAATAAGTTAATCCATTACATTATAAGCTTCATAAAAAGAAAGACCGGAATCGAAACCGTTTAACTACAAAAACAAAAATTTACTTCTGACACACAACTAATTGTGTTAGCCATCATAACCCTGAAGATAATATTGTTAATATATCCAAACTATTCGGAAAAATAAAATGAATAAATACAACAATGGTACCTTTTCCTCGCTATCATTAATTATGAAACAACGAAGTGCGTATGTGATTACCAAAGGAACATATTAAAAATAAACAAACACAACATGTCTAAATTATATATATATATATATATATATATATATATATATATATATGCTAAAAGAAAACATGTTGCCAAAATATACGATATATATATATATATATATATATATATATATATATATATATATATATATATATATATATATATATATATAAGTATAGGATTGGTGTATACGGAATAAATTCCAATAACCAACAAATACTATTCTTAAAAGAGTGCTCAATACAGAGTAGAGCAGATATAATTATTTATTCGAAAATTATAACATAAACATGTTATAAAATCACTAAAATAAATAGGAAAACATGTATTTTTTCCTCGGTTTCTTCTTTAAATAACTATATAATTTTAAACTTAACATAGATTAAATTTAAAATTTAAAAGTTATAGGAATGTGTTATTTTCTAAACACGGTCAGCACATTTTGGCCGCGTCCATAGCTAATGTTAAGTGTTGGCTTTTCCTTTTTTTATTCTTAGGGATTCCGTTATTTAAAATCATTTTTTTTTTACATGTGGATGAGGTTATTATAGACTTGTATTTTCTACTGGTATATTTCGGATTCCGATTAATTCTTAATGAAAATTATGGTTGTTTTATTTTTTAAAGAACTATTATTCTCCCTTTATGCTTAATATAAAAAATGATATTCACAACTCTATAATGAGTTTATATATATATATATATATATATATATATATATATATATATATATATATATATATATATATATATATATATATATATATATATATATATTTATTTTAAATGCCACATATATTTTTTTAAATAAAAAACTGTAATCCCAGGATAATACACAACTACACCAACATTGCGATAGACAGATAGTTTTAATATATTTAGATTACTTAATGATCAGTCTATACTTAACACCTGAAGATTGGTGTTGTGTATGAAACCCCGAGACGTGCTATCAGTGAGGGATAATATATATATATATATATATATATATATATATATATATATATATATATATAATATATACTGGTCAACACGATTTTTGATGCTAAGAAACAAGACACATTTTTTAGCTAATTTGATGCGGCTGATTCCGAAAATTCCTTAGTTTTTCATGGTTAGGTACCATTTTACTGAAATGAAATTGCTCATTTTTGGAAAAAAGATCAATTTACGATCGCAAAATTTAGTTAATAAAGATTGTAGAAACCCATCAATTTTCAGGTAGGCCGAACAATTTATGTCAGCCACCTGAAATAAACTTTATAAGAAAAATGTGTTTTTTAGTCAAAAATGTTAATCTAGAAGTACCGAAGTTTTCCAATTTATTGCCAAAATTCAAATTAACTGTTTTAAATTTATCAGTAATACAATTTAGTAAACCTGATAATTAATGTGACACCAAAAAAAAATGAAATCCTAAAATGATATTTATAAATTTATCCCATCACATTCATCCCTTCACTACGGAAGGAAACCAAGCATATTGAGAGCATTTTGTTTTCATAGTTGGAATTAAACTCCAATTAAAGACATCCCAATTGAATGGACCTATTCTATTGTATATGATACTGATGGAATATCAAAAGGGCTTAAATAACATAAAAAACATGACAATCAAGTAAGAGGAAATTTTTACTATAGTTCTTATATCCATGAAGGTTTTATTTCTGCTGTTAGTTTATTAAATGACTTGATGAAAATACTTGTTGGTCTTGGTATATTCAATCGTATTATTTTTAAAGACTTAGGGTCTGATTGTTATTGTAAAAATAGTATTTTTTGTTGAACAGTGTAATTCTTTCAAATATGTTCATGAAACTCCGAGTTGTGCGGTCAGTGAGGGATAATATGTATATTTATTAATATATATATATGTATATATAATCTGAATAATATATGCCATATATATTTTATTGTTTTACGTAGACACAAATATTTCAGTAAATGCTCTGCTTATAATAAACAGCATTAACAACATTTACCGGCCTGAACGTGCGAGAAATTTTCATAGAAAATATGTGTTCTCCGACAGGAATCGAACCTGTATCTTACACGGAACCGTCATATAGCTTGACGTGATACACCAGTTTAGCCACGAATAAGCATCTGGTTAGCATGGTTGATTTTACTGCTTTTAAACTCCGATTTTCCATGATTTTTCTCAAACGATCCACAGGTATTCAAATTTTCGTACATGTTAGGTTCTGGCGTCGCCAGTTCGTAGTTTCGTATTTTGGGCTTTTTCCCTTGATAACAACCGAACATTACGTCTTTTTACAATCAATGGTTAGTCCTTTCTTCCTGCTTTTCTTTAATATCTTGTCTCATAGTTACGATAGTTTTCTCTTTGTGTATTCAGTCTACACAATTTCATCTGCGTATGTTCCACTAAAGCTTAATCTTTAGAATAATTATAAAAGCTTCCCAGGTTGTCCGCGTAAAAGAAGACCTTCATCTCATATGGGATTGACTACTGACAGTAGGAAACAAGATCGTGAGAGGAAATCCTTGCGACTAAATGATCATCTATTGAAATAAGCGTCGAAATATTTGAAAGGGTAAAGGGTGAATTACTTACACCGGTCCAGTTTTCTGTTCTCCACAAGGCGAGACAATTAGGGTTCTCGCAGACACGTTTGTGTTCTGGTGCTTTGGTCTTTAAGCAAGCCTTGTGATCAATCACACTTCCATCTGGGCTGATGCATTGGATGAGTCGTTTCATCACAGCGAAACCATCCCGAATACAGTAATCGGTCGTACACTGGAAGAGAGAGAGAAAAAAAAAAGAAAAGAAAATGAAATGTCAGGTTTTGGTAGTGATAACAAAAATCAAAATTTGTTAAGTGCTACAAAGGACAGGAAATTGTGGAGAGCCACGATCGGGGGGGAGGGGGCACGGCACATAAAAAGAACAAGACTATTATAAAGTGAGAGAAATGATGTAGGAGGGTAATATGGGGCAGTTAAGAAGCGCAGTTTATGAGGATATGTCGGAAAGATAATGGTTAACTCTAGACATGAAGAGGTTTTAGATTGTAATAATCGGGGAAGCATCCTATCGGGAGACTCTTCCAGAAAGTAATGGTTCTTCCTAACTAATGGAATACGAAAAAAAAATGGGGATGATATCTTCCAGGTCATTTGGCAAAAATTTAAAAAGAATTTGTTTATTTTTTACTTTCGATAAAAGCATCGATCCAGGGTTGAAGAAAAGAAAAAAAAAGCCACAAATATGACGAAAGATTATCTTCAGCATTAATCAGTAACTTTTCCCCCGAGTCGGTATCCCTAACTATATTAGACTTATCCGTCACCAACGAGCCTGTACCAGAAGTAAAACACTTTCTTAGATAAAGGATGCGATGGATAAATTGTCGTCAAAATGCCGCAAAAATGAAACTAACACTGACATCTCATTTCAACAGATATACAGGGTGCGATGGATAAATTGTCGCCTAAATGCCGCAAAAATGAAACTAACACTGACATTTCATTTCAACAGATATACAGGGTGCGATGGATAAATTGTCGTCTAAATGACATGAAAAGGAAAATCTCATCTCATTTTTAACAGATATGTAGGGCGTGATGGATAAATTGTCGTCTAAATGAGGCAAAAATGAAAATAACACTGACATCTCATTTGAACCGATATGCAGGGTGCGATGGATAAATTGTCGTCTGAATTACACAAAAATGAAAATCACACTGACATCTCATTTTAACAGATATATTTACCAAAATAGCACAAAAATATCTGGAAATACTAAAGAGTAAACCTATTCAATAAAATCACCATTGCCTTCAACCACGACTTCGGAATCTCCTGCAACTCTTATGGACGGTCTCCTTGTTTAAGGTGGTGAATGCTGACATAATCATTGCCTTCAATTCATCTTTCATGTTATAAGGAGTTTTGTTGGTCCCTCGCTCAACTGTCAAATTAAGGGGTTTGCAGTCTGGGGAGTTACATGGCCAGATGTAAGGGATGATGTGGTAGCAGAAATTGTCTGACAGCCATCACTGGGTTCTCCTGCTTGTGTGACATGTGCAGAATCCTGTTGCTTGATATCGGGTTTTCCATCAGCCACCATCTTGACTCAGGGCAGTACTTCAAGTTGATTGATGTAGCCCTGCCTTTAGTTTCTGAGGCCCTGTGGGGAAATGAACGGAGACGTAACGTTGACATCACTAGTGATCACTCTAAAGAACATTAGAGTCATCCAACTCTTTCCGAATCTTGACGCCCAAAGACTTTAAAATATTTGTATTGGAGCTTCTGGCGCGAATGCCAAGAAGTTCTGTTCCCAAATTTATGGCGGCGTGAATTGTGTCAATGTCTCCACTTTCTCACAGACGGTGCCCAACTGACCCTATTATACTGTGCAATCGACAAAATTAAAAAAAAAACAAAAAAACAACGCGCCTGCGCAAAATTGAAGATATAAAATGGCGACAATTTATCCATCGCACTACTCAGTGCATGTATATATATATATATATATATATATATATATATATAATGAGGAAATGATGTGGTCCGATTATATGGTAATATTCGGCATTCGTTGACCCAACAGCTAGCACTGTGTCAGTCGACAAAATCAAAAACAAAAAACGCGCATGCGCGAAATTAAAAATATATAATTGCGGCAATTTACACATCGCACCCTGTGTTTGTTCTTGATGTCAAAACAAACAATAATTTTTGCTCTCTCACTTTGCCACATGTATCGCTATACGTGTGTGTGAAATTGTGTGTAAAAAAAAAAAAAATGTCGGAACTTACATTGGACCATTCTCCCGCGTTCCATACTGGGCATTTTTCGATTTCCACGCATTTCCGAATATTGTCCGGTTTTCTCAACCCAATTCTATTGCACGTCTCATCTGGATACATCTTAATATAGGAGTCAGTCTTAATGGCGCAAGTGACGACCCGTGTCTGAGTACCGAACCCACAAGTGTTTGAACATGGTGTCCAACGTTTAACCAGAAACTGGGCTTTCTTATGCCGAGTCCGGCTGGCGTCGGCAATGATTTCCGGCGAAACTTTGTAGGTTTTGTCTATTTTCTTCGTGTCGTCGCTGACTTCTTCAAAAGTCGCGGCCATTTTTTGTGCTTTACGCGCTGACTGGAATTGTATAGAAGAATTAGCGTTGAGTGAACCGGCAAAGCAGGTATAAATGCCTGTGTCTTTCTCGGCGATGGCGAAACGGATTTTCAATGCGCCCTTCATAGACTTGCGCACTCGACCAAAGAGGGGCAGTACTTCGTCATTTTTCTTCCAGTTTACGATATGGGGTGGGAAATTCTTCACTGGGCATCTGATGGTCACCCTAGTCTTAGGTATGACGACAGCATTACTGCCGACCCGTAGATTAATCGAGCGAACAGGTTTCAGTTGAATGAAGGTTGAATTGTCCGTACGAATTAGCGGGATGAATTTTGAATCCATTTTGCAACTTTCCAGGAAGCAATTTTTGGTGTCGTCCGGCTTGTCAGCCGTACATTTGTATTCCTCTATCGGAATCTGAGTTCCATCGATATGCTTGGTCATACAGATGACCCGACGCTTCATTTGACCTTGGCCGCAGCTCGTTGAACACTAATAAATAAAAACAGACACAGATTAAGTCATTACATCTTCGGAAACAGGTATTTATACACCACGTCATAAAAAAATACTATGTAGAAGGATCAAAAGAAAACGTGCTAAAAGATTAAAGAACGAATATCATCACACTGTATTATGTGCGTTGACAGATAAGAATGGTTTCCAATCCTATAAAATAAGTATGAATAATGAATAATTTTAATTCCACAAATCTTATTACCCGGCCTATTAAATCTATATATTATAAGAAGCACACGTGGACCAACTTTGGTTTTAATCTATCTATCTATCTATCTATCTATCTATCTATCTATCTATCTATCTATCTATCTATTTTGGGTTGGTGCATAATTATCAGGCGTTTTTGTAGGCGAGTTATTTGTTAATAAAAATTGCTGTTTTGTTAACTTTTTTTTAATAAAAATATTATTTTATTTTCAGGTTATAAAAGATTCTGTACAAAATTTATTGTATAGACTACAATGAGGATTGGAAAAAAAAGGCACCTAATATTTAATATAGTATGATATATTCATAATATATGATTCTTCTCTGTAAAAATTCGTATACCATAAATAAATAACACTATATTAGATATTAGGTGCCTTGTTTTTCAATCCCCATTTTAGTCTATATATATATATATATATATATATATATATATATATATATATATATATATATATAATATAATAAATAATTAATAAATAATAAGAACCAAAATCACCTCATATGGGGAATAGTCTATTTCGGCAGACGAAGATATTCTTCGTCAACTGAAATAGACTAATCCCCATGTGAGGTAATTTTGGATTTTATTATTTATTAATTATATTGCTCTGTAATGATAAATGCGTAGAGCTCTTGTTGTGGATTAGTTTTAATATGTTAATATTGTATATTACTAGGGTCCACTTGGATTATATTTGTTACCTTTACTACACACACATACAATCACCCCCCCCTATATATATATATATATATATATATATATATATATATGACATAGCGATATATAATATTATATATTAACAAAGAATATTTAGTAAAATAATATGACAAAACAAAAAAAAACGTTTCAGTCCGGTTAAATTTGAATGGATGAAGCGTGTTACAAAAACTTTTTTCCAATTTGTTATACTATATATATATATATATATATATATATAATGGGAGAGAGAGGGAGAGGGAGAGAGAAACTTTTAGAATATTCCTTTTCTTCAAAATGTACTTACATGACTCCATTGTCCAACTGACCAAAGGGAGCCACACGTGTGATTATTGCATATTTGGTCAATTTTGGGAGCTGGAAGTGGACATAATTTGACGTCCACTATTTGGCTAACCTCCTGGTTACCTTGGATACATTCCACTCTTCTGTATTGTACACCCCCGCCGCAATTTTTTGAGCATCGTCCAAATACCCCGACTCGCCACCTGTCGAAAATCGAAAGAAAAATCTCATTAGAATAAATATGAGTGAAACAGACGATTTAAGATAATAGTTAAATGGAGTCGGGGTAAGAGACAAAGATGGGCAGAAAAAACAGAGAACAAATTGTTAGAAGGTGAGTCGGCTTGCAGATTGTATGTCAGTAAAATCGGTTTCAGATATAAGCCATTTTGTGAAACATCAAAACATGAACGAAGACTTTCAGCACACATTGACTTAAAAAAAAAAATGGATAAAAATGCGTGTGTTTTGTGCACATGAATACACACACAAATATATATATATATATATATATATATATATATATATATATATATATATAAATAAAGAGTATAGATAAGAGCATACATAATTATACACACACACATTATATATACATAAATCACGCATATCTTCATAGACATATATAAAAACCCTATACACATATTTCTTCTTAAAATTCTCCAAGTGCCATCTTAATATATTCTTACTCACCATCTATCTATCTATCTATCTATCTATCTATCTATCTATCCGTAGAGGTGCTGAAAATTTTACCAACTTCAGAACGACCAAACATCATAATTTTATTTGAAGGACGTCTTGGTCCAATCGAGAAATTTCTACTCATCTTCTTATATATGTGTGAGTACTTGCAGACACATACATATTCATTTTTTATATATATATATATATATATATATATATATATATATATATATATATATATATTTGTACGTATACAGGATTCCTCGATTAGTGCGGTAACTATAAAAATACATTTTCAGTTACTATGGTTAAACTAAAGAATGTTTTACCTCACTAACCGAGTATAGTGTATACACTAATCGAATTTTGTGTCGATAGGTAACTACTCTTTTATTTTTTACGTTTTTTCCCTTTTTCTTGATCTTACATTTTCTTTTATCGTTTCGCAATTTTTTTTTTAGTCGGTTTACTTATGTTTGAGTCGCTCTTCAGAATTTGACAATGTTTTTTCTTAGATTTTAGTTGAACTGTGTTGCACCATATATGGCTATTCTTTTTATTTGTATGATTAATTTGGGTTTAATTGTGTTCTGTATTGATTATATGGTATTATTAACATCTTTTACGGATGTATTTGCATTTAGTTAGTATTTTTGACATTTTACATTGATTGGTTGATATTATTAATATCTTACATGGATGATATTTATTTAACGGTTGCATATTATTTGCCATATAATACTATATGTTTAGATTATTTACTAGTTTCTTAAAGAGGCCTTTTATTTATCTACTACAAAAAATATGTAGGAAATCCACAGAGTATATAACTAATTGGGCATTCGGTTAAATTATCTCTATCTCCCCTCCCGCTTTTATTTCTTATAAAAGTTGACTGTCTGGCATGTGTACATTTATTGTAACCATTTGTGTCAGTCTTTAAGTTAATGGCTGGCTGCTGTTAGATGTCAACTCCTGGTTATGAAAAAATTTCTAAGATAATAATTACTATTTTTTTCTTTTTCGCTTAGTTTGAATTTAATGTAGGTCATATTCGATTGGTTGATCAGGGTAAGGCCCTCAGGCCTTATTTTTTTTTCGAAAAAGGAAGAGATAATTTTGCTTTTGAAACTAAATTAATCGTTCACTCGTCAGTAATTTTTAATCACCTGAGGAGGCGCATTGTTATGCGTTGAAACACAATACCAACTGTGTAGCGATTCTTACACGTTTTTGTTATAATATCCTAATATATATATATATATATGTGTGTGTGTGTGTGTGTGAGAGAGAGAGAGGGTATGTACGAAACTGGTTTGAATCAGTTTATTTAATTTCTACTTTACAAATAAGGACGAGGATAACCTTTGCCTATACATATTCTGTCTGTCTGTCCGACTCTTTCTTTCTCTCTTTTACTGCGTGTGTGTGTTGGGGGGGAGTAGGTGGGTTGCACGTGTCCTAAATTACTTTGAAACTGCAACGCTCTGAAATGCGATGCTTTTAGACCTGGGTGCAGTAGAGCATATGTTCATTTAAAATTTCGTATGAATTCGGTGATCTTGTAACATAGTAACACTCACACCAGTGCACCCTCTGTATCAGAGCTGCAGACAGTGGCGCACGCTTTAATAAGGTTCAGTATGAGCCGCTGTATGCAACGGAACAGCACACACTATACTTTTGTTCAGAGAGAACCTTTTCACTGGGGTTGGTTGTGGGTCTTCGGGAGGTTGGATAGTCAATTCAGAGAATTGCTACGCATAATGAGCGTAACGATTCCGTGTTGATCCGATGTTGGCTGAAGTGTTCAAATAGCTACATAGTATAGACGTTCGCCATGACTAATGCATTGTAAGAGCAGCATTAGCACTGATTTGCGCAACACAGATCAGACAATATATAGTTCTCGGAATTTCAACACGAAATGTTAGCAAACTTGTAGCAGGACTACAGTCATGCTTGTTTCTAGCTAGAACTCGCTTAGGATATAACACCATCGTGCTTGTCTCCAGTGCTATCACTAGAGTTACATATAGGGAAGCAATTGACATTTTTAGTATCCAATGATAAAACATCATCTTTCAAGTGAGGGTTACTTGTATGTGTGTTGTAAGCCTAGGGAGCGAGTCTTCAAGAGTGTATTAGTCAATGACACACAAGCGCAACACCTGACATCATGTCGTAGGGTACCATAGTTTAAAACTCTTGCTCGTCTTTGGTCTATGTGGAGAGAAAGTTAATCAGCACTAATACGTTTAGAATATTGCTTAACCCATTCTGTTGCTCCCGTATAGTGGCCAGGCTGTATCTTGTGGCAGCAAGATAATATCACCCATATGGAGAGTGTGATATTCAGGAAGATGCTTCCTTGATAGTTATGATCACCAAATCTGTCTTCTATCAAACATGTATAGATGTGATGTCTCTACATCTGACTCGTTCAATGAGCCCACCTATGACTATTATTAGAGGCGTGAAATAATGTAAAGTATAATATTCATGTAAGATAGCGAGCCTATGTTAACAATTAAGGAGGATATACAATGTTTTAATATGTAGGTTATGTGTAGTGAGGATAGACACCTTATTTTGGGAGCTGTGTATTACATATCTGTCGATTTAACCTTAAGTAAATTAAAACATGCTTTCAGTGTTGCAATTTTATTTTCCGTAAGTCTTATATTAGTTTTGAATTGGCCACACCTATGATTTTTTACCTGTAAATTATTATTACGAAACTTGCATTACCTCGGTTGTAAGAAAATTGACACATCTACAAAGTAAATGGTTTAGAAATTTACCTCTGATTACATATTTGATTAAACCAGTTTCAATTTAAGCAGCTATATATAAAATTCTGTGACTTCCCTCCGTCCGTTCGTTACCCCGACTCTAAAATAGCCATTGATCGATCGAAACCAAATTTAAGGTAGAAGTGCAACTCAGGTAAGGGGGTGGGGGGTAGAAAGTACAGTTGTTTGTACTAGGGTGCGTAGCTTAGTAACAATTATATTTCATTAGTTGTTTTTGAAAAATTAAG